TAATTCTTTTTGTCATGGCCAAGAATAAGGTGAGCTCCAAAGCACCACTCAGAGAAATTCAAAAGAAATGTTCAAGTAGCCTGAGAATGAGGCAGAAAAACGGAGGCCTGTTCTGCTGGCAAAGAACACTTTGGACAAATGGTTAGGCATTCTTCTGCATAGCATTAAAAATTCTATATGCTCTAGGAAGAAATGGAAAGGAGGTCCCCCCCCCCTCCCATAATGCTAGAATTCAGGGATATCAAGGAATTTTATCTGACAGGGTCTAGGAAGAGGGTCTTTTCTGCTGTGGCCCCTGCCCTGTGGAACAGCTTACCACCTGATGTGTGGGCTGCCCCCACTCTCCTGGCCTTCTGAAAAAGCATGAAAACATGGCTATGGCAGATGGCCTGGGGCTTGACGGGGGCTCGCATTCTTGGAATTGGCTGGTGGGATGGTTGATACTGCTTCCCTCCATCGTCTTGAATTCTGTATAGGTTTTTATATATATATATATATATATATAGAATTGTTTTTTTTAATATGGATATTTATATTTTTATTGTTTTTACTGTTTTGGATTTTAACTGTGAGCCGCCCAGAGTCACCCTCTGGGGGAGATGGGTGGCATATAAATGCAATAAATAAATAAATACCCACGGAAGTGCAGGGGAGGACCCTCAGTTGTGGTTTCCACCTTGACTTTCTCTCTCTCTCTCTCTCTCTCTCTCTCTCTCTCACACACACACACACACACACACACAGAGGTACTCCTGTTGGAACCCCAAGGGTTCACCCAAGGAAGCTGAAGAGTAGGAGATCTTGATCTCTTTCCAATTCATTTGTCCTAGAGTCCACCCAGATCATAACTGGTGAAGTCCAAGTCTTCTGATCTGCTGTTTGAAGAAGTATAGGAAAACAAGTCTTTTAACAAAGAAAATCAGTGATTTATTCAGCATGAAAGGCTTGTTGTTTTCATGCTTATTCATCATTATCTACTGAATATTTCCTTCCTTTTCTTAAGCGTTTTAACATTTGGAGAGACTGGAAGTGTTTAATTGTGACAAAACCGCATTGCTAAAGTGGTGCAAATTGGAAAGATGATTGATTTCTTGATTTCTTGATTTATTTAATAGCGTTGGAGCGTGGCAGTATTATTATACTTTCATCTCAACAGTGTATTTGCTTATTTATTCATTTGTTTCAATTAATATTGTATCATCCTGCTCAGACAGGTACTCAAGGTTCCTATAAAATCATAGGGATAAAAACCAAATCCTTAAAGTTAAAAACATAAATTAAAATTAATCTTTATTTTAATCATCAATTAAAAGCCTGATGAAAGAGCCACGTCTTTACATTACTGGAAATGCCAAGGGAGTGAAGGCTAAATATAGATTTAAAAAAAAAAAAGATGTCTTTAAAACCTGGGAGTAATGCAGGAGAAGTTATATAGATAACAATAACAATATACATAACCTTCTAATTGGGAATTGTGAAAGTTAATAATTACCTGCATTAATGAGTATCTATAAAATAAATTGTGTATTTATTTATTTATATTTATCTATATAATATATAGATTACATGTTATTTATTTTATAAATTTATATTTAGTTTATAAATTTACACTATATATGAGTATATATAAAATGTATGGGTGCCAAAGGAGGTGTTTCTCAGTATAATGACCTCATTGGCAATGCATTACCAGCCCCCTATAGAGAACATATGCTAAACTTTGATTAATTCATCCTTTTGATATGTCCACTGACAAAGTCTCCAAAGATTACTGGGTGATCTTGGGCCAATCACTCTTTCTGAGCTCAACTATGAAAGTTAGTTCTCACCTGGTCAGGAATAAATTACCCAATACTACATCAGGCCTTTACCACAATAGGAAGAAAAATGTATCTCTCACTGAAAAGGTGGGAGAAACACGAGAAATCTGAAAATCAATTATTCTAAATAGAGCTCGCATTTAATACATAGCAGTTGGTGGAATTTCTCCCCAATAGCTTAAGAAGTTCCTGGATTCTTGTATATCTGTTTAATTAGTTTCAACCCCAACTTACATGGAAGGAGGAGAACAAAATATGCCACTCAGAAGAAAATTCAGGAAAGTCTAGTAACTTCCTTTAAAAAAAAAAATGTATTGAAAATTTTAATTACAGTAATAAAAACAAATACAAACTAAACTCAGAGAAAATAAAGTAAAAAGAGAGTAAAAAGTGCAAAGAAGGAAAAAAAAAAAAAGGAAAGAACCCCTCACCCCCTATAAGGTTACAAACAGATATCTCTTCTTCCCATAACCCATTCCTTATCTATAAGCAAATCCATAAGACATCAACTTTTCAATCTTGGTGTCAGCAAAAAATTCATAAAGGGTTGCCAGAATTTCACAAAAATATGTTAGCCTTGATCAAATAAAGACATTTTATATTCCTTCCTTTCACCTCTGAAAATCTTAATCTTCAATTCATTCAAATATTGTCATAGGATTTGATCTCTTTTTTATTCTTCTTTGTCTCATCACATAGGCTTCTTTGAGGCTTTAATGAGCCTTTTTTATAAACCCAATAAAATAATCAGGTCATTCTCTTGATTTATTATTGGCGTTTCCCCTTTAATTTTTAAAACTTCAGCCAGCTTGTTTTGTATATCCAGTAAAAAGTCCTTTTTCCAGGTCATTCTCTTGCCCTGTCACTTTTATTTCCAATTTAAATACCTTCTCTGTCTTGTAATCCACACATTTTTTTTAATCCGATATTTCTGATTCCACTATTTCTGCATCGAGTAAGATTTGTTTCACATCTGTCATTCCTTCATTAACATCCTTTAAACATAGTCTATCCATAGAACATCTAGTGATTTCCAATCTTTATTTTTTAAATGGCTTCTTATAAATGTGATGGTCCTGAAGTTGTTTCTGCCAAATTGTAAAAAATAGGAACTTGGGCACAGAAAACAGATTTCTTTTTCATTCATCTGAATAGATAGAACAATGTCATCTATGTCCCACCAGCTACATTTTTCTCTTTCAGTTTTAAAAATCAACTGGTTATCCCTTTATAATGGTTTTGTGATGTGATATACATGATGCTGTATTAAAAACAGGTAAGTTAACATACCTGCACCAAAGAATTGGGTGATAGTTGCCCTGGATTCCACACTGTGGCCAACCTATGACACGAATGCTGCAAGTGGTTATATAGTTTACATTTCTGGTCTTTACATTGGAATTTATGAAAATTCTCAGGAGAAACCCACCCTACCAATGATGCCTTGTGTTATGACAGATGCTTTAAAAAGTATACCTATTTTACCTTTCCAGGTTAAACAGGTACCAAAGTCGTCAAACAGATTATCAAGGAGAATGTTTGTGAGTGCTTGGATAGGTTGGCTATAATCAACAGGATTTATTTGTTTTAAACAAATCTTGCCAGATGAAGCTTATCTCCTTCTTCAATCGAGTTACTAGCTTAGTAGATCATGGGAAAGCCAAGGACGTAGTATACCTTGACCTCAAGCCTTTGACAGAGTGTCTCATGAAATTCTCCTTCATAACATGGTAAAATTTGGGTTAGTTGATCCTATTTAGATGGGACTACAGTTAACTGAATTAGTGCACCCAAAAAGGAGTTATTATCCACATCATTGTGGAGGGACATATGGAGTGAAGTCCTACTGGGCTCTGTGCTGTTTCATATTTTTTTATCAGGCACATGGATGAGAGAGCTGAGAGGAGACTTACCAGGTTTGCAGATGACACAAAGCTGAGTGGAGGCTAATGCTTTAGATGAAAGAGAGAGAATCCAAAATGTTCTAGACAGGCTTGAGCCCTGGGCTAAAATGAAGAGAATGGAATTCAAGAGGGGGAAATATGTGAACCCAGCCCCACTGAACTGAGTCAGATTTGTTTTAATTGTGGCTTGTTAAGATGCCATGATTGGCCAGGCATAACCAATGCAAAACCAAAGTGAGAAAAATTGCACAAGGATTCAGTGCTGCTTTTGGAGAAATCTGTGTAGCTAGTTGGCCTGAAAGAGTTAACAGCAATTGCTAACCACTTTCCCATCACAGTTTTTTGCTCCTTCTCCTGCAGGAGCCTGATAAATTGTACAAACTGATTACAAACTGATTGCAAACCAGGGACAGAATCTGCCTCTGACAGCATAATATACGTCTTTAACAGGACCCGATTAGCATCTTTGGCTCATTTTGATTCAGAATCCTTCCTCTTTATTAGTTTGTTTTAGCAGATAATGGATATCTTCCAGCAGTTTGCTGAAATGTGACTATGTGCTATTGGTTCCCCCTCCCGTTCCTTCTTTTTCTCCTGGGGGGTGGGGGGAGGCTGTTACATTTATGTTCTTCTTCATGGGAATGAAAACCAAACCACCAGGTAATACCAAGAACTCTCCTTCCACAATTGAATACACATTCTTACTCAGGAACTGTGAGTCATTGCTACCTTGTGATCTCAGAAGGTTTCCAAAAATTGCTGGACCATGTATATGTATGAATAGAGAGCCTCATGTTGAGGATGAGGCTCTCTATTCATACATGTCCATAGTCTTTCTGCCTTCAAAACATGCCCTTAACTTGTTCCAGAAAACATCTCTATCACAGAAAATGAGGTATCTTACCAGAAATCCTCATGACAACGCAGAGAGATCCAGAGTGATCTGGCTAAACAAAGAGAAGGGTGTATTCCAGAGTCCTCTTGACAACCATTCATTTTCGAAGGAGAGGAAGCCACTCCTATAAGTAAATAGCACTTGTTCCTTCTATGCACCCAGTTAAAGGTTTGTACCACTCCTTTGTTAGCGTCTGCCTTCTAAGGCCACAAATGTCAGCTCGGCCAGATCAGGAAACAGAATGATCCTTGTTTGTTGTAGGGTATACCGTAATAGCAGAAACTTGAAAACCTACTCAAGTTTCCCCTTGTTCCCTCTCACACCAAGGAGAATCAAGGTGGGTTTATTTTAAGTTTCCTTCTCATGTCTTCCCCTTTCCAGGATGGAGTTGAATGTTTCTTCTCTATTAATGGGTCCTACCTTCCTTCATTAAGATTATTTCTACAGTCCTCTACAACATGACGTCTCAAGCTTCAATCTGCTAGGAGGTAGGTATGGGAAAGCCCAGGTTAGGGACGATGATGTTAGTTAGTCCTTGGTTTTTAAGACAAGCTATGATATCCTAGAAGTTGCTACATGTCAATGCTCAGCATCTTCCCTCTTTTCCGTATTTGCTCGGGCAAATGTGGAACGTGAATGTTCAGCAACATCAGACGTGCCGCAGACTACCAGCCCTGGTGAGATGTAGCACTGAATCCCTTTCTTGGATCCACATTTGTTGCCTATATTATTTTCTGGCCAGCATTACATGCCTTTAAGTTGGGTTCTTGGTGTCCTCTGAGCGTTTTCCAGCAGAGGTTTTGCTACCAGTCTAGGTAGCATCATCAGCACATAACAAATATTATGAAAAGGAAGGTCTTCTCTTGGGCCCTAATTTTGCAGTACTGCTGGCACTGCACTCCCTTTTAATTTGGATTAAAAAACACTCACATTTACCTGGGCATTTTGAATTATCATCTTTCCAGCAGGTCGCATAGCTTTGTTCCACCTCATTTTCTTGTATTATTGGGAGCTGATTTCACATTTCTCTGTACGCTGCCTTAACACTCATTTATGGATCGTATTATGGATTGGAAATTATTCAACCAACAGCAACAAATGTACTCAACATTGCAAAGATCCACCTCTCATCTTAAACCAAGGAGCGGCCCCTGTTGTCTGTTGCTTAATTCTGCCTGAGGCTGCCAAATTTCCCCTGGACGATCTTAAAAGCACAACGCCCATCCCTTTTGTGATGGATTCTGGTTTTTTTTATGGGGTGGCTCCTTTTAAAACTCAAGAAGGCATTAAACTTTGAGCATTGCAAACCAACAAATCTTCACTGCCAAACTCCAGGCAGGCAACCCCCAAGAGTTAGTCTCGGCGTGGCTGTTTAGTGACTGTCAGGATTTTTGCTACTTAGAATTGGTACCTCTAGCTATCAGTTCAATATCTGATGATAAAATGTTGAGTCTTTTTTTTTTGCCTGAAAAGACTAATTGGTTTCAGATATATGACCGGCGCTGTCTTAAAACAGGGTGAATTTGCAGTATTCCCTGTGGACTTTCTAAAGCTCAGTTCAGGCTGAACAGGCTGATCTCCACTGATCCACTGATCCACTAGTATCAGTCTAGGACAGTGTTTTTCAACCTTGGCGACTTTAAGATGCGTGGACTTCAATTCCCAGAATTCCCCAGCCAGCAGGCTGGCTGGGGAATTCTGGGAGTTGAAGTCCATGCATCTTAAAGTTGCCAAGTTTGAAAAACACTAGTCTAGGATGTATTTTTATGCTGGATTCTAAAGGGATGAGAGATGGAAAGCAACTCCCTGGAAAAGCTGCTTCTTCTCCTGTTCTGAGGCTGCAGACGAGCTGTGCCACTTACTAATAACCCATTACGTTATGTCAGCTACCCAAACAATCACAATGGAATTTAGTTGCAGGGCTCCCTTACTGCTCTCCAGAAAACTTGCAGACCCTTCAGGGCAGCATTGCAACAGAGGCTGCGGTCTGACCACAAAAGAATATGTGTCCATGTGCCGAAGGGCGTCAAGGGCCCAGGACCCTTTCCGCCTCCAAATTGCTTACTTAGAGCTGAGCAATAAGCTTGCCTTTAAAGGGTGCTCTGGAGACAGGAGAGGAAAGCCGAGAGCCAAACGCATTTATCTGTTCATTTACACGGTTGCTTTTTGCTCTCAGACTTAACTCATTTAATTTGCTCTCGGTGACTTTGTCTTCATTACCAGCTTCATTTTCATGTGTGATAGGATGGTGTCTGTCTGAGGATTCAACTGACCTTACTTGTTTCCAGTGACATCATTGGACTGCCAGATGTGATCTGCTGAGCGGCGCTATGATGTCATCACATTCATTGAGGGGGGAAAGGAAGAGACCTGAAGTGGGAATATCGCTTTGTAGCAACAATAGATAGAAGAAATAATAGCAAGTGGCAAGAAGATCAATGTTCTTTGTATCAAACAAAATTTGGGAGAAAAAAATTCTGCCGCTAATTTTTTAGCCTGAAAATTGAAATGGGAAGATGCTCAATCCATTCCTGTATGTGTATATATACACACATATACACATAGATACAACAATATACAATAAACCTTGTAAAGCATTACAGCGAAAGAATTCCCAAAGTGAAGCCAAATTAATCACTTGAAAGGCCTCCCTCAGCCTCTCCCCACACAGTGCCCTCCAGATGTACCGGAGCACAAGGTCCATCATTCTCAGCTAATGACATTAGATGGGAATTATGGGAAGTAGAATTCCACCATGCTGGAGGATGTAAGGATGGGGCAGAGAAGGTGTCAGGAGGGTCTTTCTAAGTCTTTCTTCTCTAGATTATCCTTCACTGCCTTGCCTTCTCCTCAGGCTTAGAGGCTTTGATTTGGGTGGTCTCCTCGAAGCAGGACCTTCTCAGTGGTGGTGCCCAGGCAGTAGAAATCCTGGGTGGGTTACCTCAACAACCTTAATATGACCCTAGTGGGTGCATTTACACAACATGAGAATTGATGTTTTATGTATTTATATATATTTATGTTTTTAATGTTCTGTGTGAGTTGCCCAGAGTTCCCCCATTGAGGGGAGATGGGTGGGGGAGAAATTTAATAAACAAACAAACAAATAAAATGAGAAGCTTGATTGATTTGGACTTTGGCTGGTTTGGATGGCTTACTGCATTGTACAAGTGAAGTCTGTTTGGTTCATTTATGGTTTAATACATTATGTGAACCAAGCAAATGAGTTTATTCAGTAACTAAGGCAATGTGTGAATGCGGCCACAGATCAAATCAATTCAAATGAAATCTAGTATCATTAGGTTTCTCTTTCTCTCTCTCTTTAAATATACACACACACAAACACAGACTTTGATAACCAAGGTATAATAAACAGAAGGGGAAAAAACCCCATTGATTATATAATCAGTATGAGAAAAGTGCAAAATACAGCTTAAACTAAAACTGGAGGAAAGAAAGAAAAAGGGATCCATATAATATTAATATAGGACTTGTTCAATCACTTAACATATTAAATCTAGACTATCCAGAAACAAGTTCCTCCATTGTCTCACTTTCACAATATAAAGACATTTCAAAAATTGACATCCAACACCTCCCTTGGATTCAGTTTTCAACGTCAGAAATGTAAAACTCTTTCCACTTATGTAGAAAAATTCTTCTTGCCTAACCCCAGGCTAGGTAGAGTCAGAGTTCTTCATGAAATATCAAATTCCATAATTTAGGAATATTTACATCTTTAACTGTTATATTTCCCCATCCCCCAAATTATGTTAACTTGTGTGATGAATTGAAGTCAGACAAGAGCCATAGATGGACAGGACCAAATCATATGAGTCAGAATCTTATTTCTTTCAGTGCTGACACAAGAAACCTGATATCCCACCTTTTGAAAACTTATTTTGAAAAGTCCAATAAACTCGGAAGAAAGTATACTATATATGGACTGCATAAATCTTGACCTAGATGCAGAGAATTCTACCTCTTTTCTGACATCTAGCAATTGGATTTCTGTAGCTCAGATGTACTATCTCTATATAATTAGTAGCTATAATTATGCCTATAATTATGTAGATGGTACAGATTCTATAATGGTTGTTGATATTTATTTATTTATTTATTTATTTATTTATTTATTTATTTATTTATTTAGGTTTGGCCCTTGAATGCAGTAGCATAACCTCAGCCAGTATAGAATGAATAAGATCAGAATAGAAAATTAATTTTCTTTTGAAAGATTCAAGTAACAGCATTTCAAGGCTGGGCTATGCTGAAAGTGGACTTCTCATTCATAATATACCAATAAATTTATAGCATTCTCCTAAATAATATTAATCAGGAATATCCATGATATCCATGGAAATTGTGCTCAGATAGACAGGCACAAGATTATTGCTTTAGAGATTAATCCAAAACTTTTTTTTTTTTTTAAATTAAGGACAGTGCTACAAAAGGCACCAAAATTTATCTCAAAATTGGAATGCTTAAGACTTCAGAATTAAATTCTGACCATCAGCACATTTATTTGCAAGTAATCCCGCTAAGATGAATAAGATTCAGTCCCCTATGAACAGGAAAAATCAACTTCATTTTATCACCTGTTAAAATAATTCTTCACCCTAGCGTTTATTTATGGATTAAAAGAATATGTAAAAATGTAATTAGATTGGATGGGAACTGCATTTACTTTTTTTTAAAAGCTCTTTCTATACATTATGGAATGTTTAAAAACTGCAGCATATTTCCCACAGAGAAACCCAGCTAGAACCCTGCTCCTACACATTTCTTTTTATGGAGGAATTATAGCTAGCAGATTTTGGTTATGGCCAGTGTTTATCCAGCCATGGACTCCTTTGTGTGTGTAAATCCCACATTTACTCCCAGGAAAATTTATGAGAGACCTATCTGTTTTACTTCCTCAGGAATATGGTCTCAAGGGTCCTGCCAGATTTTTACAAGCTGCATTTCTAATCACCTGGTTTCATTGATTTTTAAAGTCTGCCTCTTTAAGATTTTTATTCTTTTTTACTATAGACCCAGATATACTTATTTGGGTTTTTTATTCTTCCCAAGGCAAAGCTCTTTCAAGTTGTGCCAATATTATTATATCTCAGAACGAGTTTCATCTTGATCCTTAGAACAACTTGATGCCAAGAATGAGGTTGCTTCAGAGATAATGCGTTTTCTGTTTTTGGCATGGCCCGTCAACAATTCTATTTGAGCAATTGCAGGAATTAAACAGCTTAACTGTATTTCTCTCTTTTTCAACAGGTCCTTCTGACGCTCCAAAAAGGCAGCTTTTATGAGTCTCCCCAAAGGTGCTACTTTCTTGTCACTGAGGTTCATCTGAGAGAAATTTCACTGAGAGATTCTCCTATGCAACAAGAAGGGATAAATCGACTCCAAGATCACATGTGGCCATCCCTCAAAGCATTTAGTGCACAAACACTAAACTTCCACATACTTTGCAAAATTCCCAAACAGATTTGAACGTTGCCAGAATTGTAATTTTAATACAACCGACAGGAAAAGGACTAAATGTAGGACAGTATCGTGAGTATACTAAGGACAAAGTTGAACCTGACTCCTGATCGCTGAATTTCCCGCCCCCCACCCCCTTGGCAGCAATACTGAGATCATTTGCCTTTAGCAAGAGAGGTTCTGACTTTCCAGTCTAGATCACAACCTGGATTTCCCAGACTATCCCACATCCAAATACTAACCAGTGCTGATCCTGTTTAGCTTTTGAGATCAACCAAGGTCAACTGGATGCTGTTTCTCTAATTAAATGCAAAGGTAAATCAAATGGAATGTAATTTTTCTTCTAGCCCCACCCACTTCTCTTTGGTTTCTAGCCTGGGCATGACATTTAAAAACTAAAGACTTGCATCCTGAGGACTCAAGGATGTATCCCAAAATTTCATCTCCTGATGGGGGTCAAGGCATTCGTCTTGTTCCTACGGGGGCAAAATAGGCTGAATAGCTATAGCAGGTGGTTGCTCTTTGTATTTTAAGTTGAGCGGGGTGGAGGTTGACTCAGAAGGAGGACAAACTTTTCAGGGAGTTGAAAGGAAAGAAGAAGTACCTTTCTTCAGCACAGATAACCCAACCAACTCTTTCCACCCTAAGCTTAGCCTACACGATAGTGTCTGGCTTTGCATAACATACTTCACTTAGCAATTGAGTTAACTCACTTACTGGCTTGCACAATACACTAAATCGTAAATCAGTAAGCTGTGGTGCCAATAGATGTGATCAAATGGGAAAGGCAGTTCTCACCATCTTATTCAACTCCAGCATTTTTGGTTGAAGCAAGAAGATCACATTCATAACTACCGGCTAGTGTAGTGAGCCATATAATTACTCTTTCAGAAAAGAGATTGTAGGAAGGGAGCTTCTTTCAATGGGAGCTTGTTTGAACAAGGTCAGCCTGGTTCTGGGAGCATCTTCATGTTCTGGTTCCCTCTTGGACTTGTCTCCTATTCTCTGACCTTGTGATTTTCTTTTATTTCTGTCTGTTAGTTTGCCTTCTCACCTTTGTTGTTCCTTAACCTGATTCTTAGGCCATCCCAGACAGTGGTCCATAGTCCATAGTCCAATCTTGTTAATACTAAATAAATCAGAAAGTCCTAGCATGGGAAGGATTTGCTGCGGCTCTTGAGTCCAGTGCCTTGCTCAGTGCGGTAATCCAAATTAAAACATCCCCAAACGTTGGTTGTCCAGCCTCTGCTTGAATACATCCAGTGAAAAGAGTCCATGGGAGTCCAGAGACCCAGCCTCTCTGGGTCATAATTTAAGTCCATGATTCTGTCTCCTGTGCCCTGGAATGAGAGATAATGTATCTTGATCTTCTTCTGTGTGATTTTAGGCATTTGAAGAGTCTTGTCTTCTTCTCAATCTTCTCTTCACAAGTTACTGCAATCTCTTTTCAAAAAATTTAGTTTATAGTCCCCTGATCATTCTAGTCAACCACTTTTAAGCCTAGGATATTATGTGAACCTAGCCCTTTTGGCAAATGTATGGTTCACTGAGTCATATCAACCCAGGAAATAGAGTAAACCATGAGTCTGCGGCATGAATATAGCCCAATTGTGAGGAATAATTGAGCATCTTTACTAGTAGAATAGATAAAGTTCATATTTTCCTACTCAGCAAGTAATCAGGTTTTATTTTAATTTGTTTTACAGCAATGAGTTGCATGTGATCACCCTACTCCCCACGAAGTGCACAAAGAATTAAAGTTCTGCATATAAAAGGTTCCAGAAAGAAGGAAGGCAGAGTGTAACAACTAAAGATGATTCTTCTACATATTGGATATGATGATCAAAGCAAACACAAAGAAGATTATAGCAAGAAGGCTGTCTTCTCTGACTTGCAAGGATGTGGAAACTTTGTCTGGTTAAGGGTCATCTTGGCTGTTGAGTAGCATATCACCAAACAGTGAGCCAGGCCAGGACAAAAGCTAAATTTATTTTAAATTTAACTTGTTTAAATTAAAATAAATTATACTTTATATGACTGTTTCTCATGTCGTTAATAATTTTCCTCTTTAATCATTGTAAAGGTCGCTTTGCAGGCACTTTTGACAAGGCTCATCTGAGGTTTCCAGGTGAATTTGGCTCTAGGTACCGAAGAGGACTAAAGCTGTGCTGAGAAATTCTCATCCATTTTCATCTGCCAACATCTCATTTTATTTGATGAAAAAGAATTTGCTTTAGGAATTCTTTCAAAAGAGAAGACCATGTCAGAGAAAATTTCATGGGTGAAGTTAGTGTTTTTGCATTTATTTTGTGAAAAGTCAGTCAATGTGTGTGTGTGTGTGTGTGTGTAAATGTTTAGCCTGCCATTGTGCAGTCATTTTTCAAACAACCTGAGTCTTCCATGCTTCCATTAAATCCCAAAAGTTAGTGTTTCCACGGGAGCTCTAGGGATGGGGTTTTTTTTCAGTAGTGGTGCTGCTGTAACACCCCTTACAGGACCTCTTCCCTTGAGCAATTTCTCCTTCCCCTGAAGAAAATTATCTATCCAATTTCTCTTCCCATAGATTTGGTGGGGAACTTTGGAAGGCCATTTATACCCAACTCCAAAAGGAGGAAGTGTTTAACATACGGAAACATTTGGGGGAAAATTGTGGATCCATTGTAATAATTGTGTCCATCAAATTCTGCTATGAAAAATTACAAAGAGATATCCATTCCATCAGATGAAAATCCCCGTTGGCTGGGGGGGGGGGGGGC